CTCCAGCATCGGCAGTTCCGACTATCTCTGGATTTGTAATCATTGTGCTTTCATGGGAATTCAATGCACTAGCTTTGATGATGACCTATGTCTAATGAGTGTGAAGGAATAAAATAGGGGCAGAATTCTCAATTATGCTACACTTCTGTCCATTACGGTTTTTGTTCCTGGGTTTCAGGAGATGCTTGTTGCAGGGAGATGAAAGGCTCATACACAAAAATTTGGATTATCTGATGCAATTAACCCTGCAATGTTCTTCTGGCTGTCTACTTTAGTTCTGTTTGGAGGCTATGCTTAAGGGCCCTCAATCAATGACCTCCAAATAAATTGGTTTTCCCAAAGCAACAAAAATTAGGGACACTGCAACTTGGGATGAGAATGTGCAATCTGTTCTCATCTACAATTTTGAAAGGATTGCTGAGTTGTTCCCATGACTCTGTGAAAATCTAGCCCAGTAACTTGTTCTCTCTCTCTCCAAAAGCATCCCCACTATCACACCCACACCCCCCCCCCCCACCACCCACAACAAGATGCTGCCAAATCTGCTGAGTATTTCTATTTTCATTTGAAACCTTAGTCTTTTCCTTGCTTGGTTGTTCTCTACTCTAACCAGCACTAACATACTCACCCCTAACTTACTGCAGAGACCTCCTGACTATTATTGAGCTACTAAATTTAGAGCTGGGGACTGGTCCCCTTGAAATTTTTCTCATTCAACATCCTATTTCCATCCAGCAGATAACTAGTGAGATTGAATGGGACTCTCATCATGAACATGGAAATGAGGCCCTGGTGTTGAAATCCCTTCATTGTGGTATCATGATGCAAACTTGGTTCTTCCTTTGGCTTCTAATTCAAATGCCACACTCCTGTCACACCTTAAATTTGGGACTACTGTTGCATACATAGTTTTAAATTGACTTTGATGTGATGTGAAGTTAATGGGAGTCTACAGAACTCATTGTCTGCTGTCCATTGATGTATAGTTTCACACATACAGGTGTGCTGAGGCCAAGTACTAAATAATGTGATCCAAAAGAGTAACTTAGATGCTGCAGCCAGTGTACTGCTTGTTTATAAGGTGAAGGGAGAAAATGTCGATAAAGCTCTATTTTGGGCACAGTGTGTTGTGACATACAGTTACCCCAGGTCTTATTTTGTTCAGGCAAATTTTATGCTGCCTAGTTCAGCAAAGTGATTTTAGCATGATATCCATTGTGAAAAATGCTGCTTAATGATTGTGTATCAATACGTGCCCCAGAGATGTGCAAAGCTAGGATGGCAATAAAGCTAGCCTGCATTTCTTAAATGGATTCTTAAATATACAGAAGTTATTGGAACAGTCTCAGTAAAGATTTGATGGAAGGAGTAAATGGTAATGGAGCAATAGGCCAGAGGGAGAGGATCCCAGGTTCTCTGCAGTGATTGAGACAGAAAGGGAAAAATGCTGATGGTTCTACAACAGGCCAGAGGCCCTCAAGGCATGCCGTGTATATATCATGGAAGCGGGTGCCTAGGGAAGTCAATTCTCAGGGTTTGGCCCCATCAACCTGACCAAAGAACTGGAAAAATATTTCACTAACCTCATATAGTGAAGTTTAGTGAATGCAACTTCAAATTACATCACCTTTCCCCTCAGCATGCCCAGTGCATGATAGGCCATTAGTCAATCATTAGTTAGGATTCATGTTTAATGTTCAGGCTGCCCAACTCAATCTCACAGTGACCAGTGCTTTCAGCATCACACCCACTTCTCACTCTGGCATGAGCTAAATCCATTCTGTTATCATTTTCTGTGCTGCAAAAGCCAACAGTATATGAGAATGTAACATTCAGGGTATAGGTAGCTCCAAAGGATTGTTACATTTGGCTATTTCACTGTTTAATTATATTCAGTTCTGCCCAGAGGTAGGGGCAGGTCTAGTTGCAAGGTTCGGATTAGATCACCAAGGACAGTTCAAGGGTCATTGAAGAGCAATTCAAAGGTAACGGGCAATGTTACTGGAAATCAGTAATTGTAGAATACAGAATAGTACAGTGCAGGAACAGGCCGAATGGCCCATCGTGTCAGTGCTGACCATGATGTTATTCTAGACTAATCCATCTTTCTGCATGTGATTCTCTCCATTTCCCTGTTCTTGTGCCTGTCTAAATGCCTCTTAAATGTTGGTATCATATCTGCTTCTACCACCTCCCCGGGCAGTGTGTTCCAGGCACTGATCATACCCTAAAAGAAAACTTGTCTCGCACATCACCTGTAAACTTTCCCCCCGCACCTTAAATGTATGCCTCCTAGAATTTGATATTTCCACCCTGCAATACAGACTCTGACCATCTATCCTATCCATACTTATCATAATTTTATGTACTTCTGTCAGGTCGCCCCTCAGCCTCCCACTCACCAGTGCAAACTAGAAAGCTTAGGTTTAACATTACATGAGGGGAGTATAAAAGAGTTATGAATATTCCTTTGACCAGACTTGAAATCAGTTTTCAGACAGATGTAAGGATTGTAGCTCTGTTGTAAGTATTTATAATGGGTTCCTTCTGATGTTTGGAGCTCCTCTGCAGATAACGTTCACAAAGCACAGTACACATATGGGGTTGTTGCCCACACTAGTTTAAAGGTAAATGTTAAGCTGTGGTGAGCTTCTCTGATATCAGCTTCTTTCAAATATTCAAAATGCTAATCCAATATAGAGCACTAAATCTTGATAATTACTATTGTAAGCATGATGACTAAGACTTTGTAACTTATTAAGAACAGTGAAATGATCACAGATCACATTGATGACATGTAGTTTATCACACAGCGGGTGTATTAGAGAAAGACTGTTGGCTGCTTGACAGTAAAGACAATTCAAGAATGGGCATCAGGATTGTGATTGATTAGTTTAATTGGTAAACAGATATGTCTCCCTATTTACGAGAGATTATCATGGCGACTTGTGACAGAGTTGGAATTCCAATTGCATCAGAGCAATTGATAAAATTGACTGTTATCAGAAGGAATCACAATACAATTCCTGTCACATCTCATCATTCCAGCCATAATAATGGACATGAGACTTGAAGGTGGACAAAGGATTTCAGTTCTTTAAAAGAATGAAAAGCCTGTATTAATATAGAACCTTTCATGATAACCAGTTCACCCAAACAACTTTATAGTCAATGAACTACATGAAGTTTGAAATATTCTGTTTGTGAATAAGTATGATTAAATATCAATTTTGAGTGTATGAAAACATTTAAATGGGGAAATGATTGGTTTGTACAATTACAAAAGGTAACTATAAAAGTTTGGTGATATAATATTAGTTACTTTGTCAGAATGCACAGTGAAGGGTACTGTCAGGAATACCAGATACCCATAGGATAACAAGAGATGGATTGATTTTATTAGAGAACTCTTGGCTGAAAGACAGCTGTAATAGCAGACCTAGTAAGTAAAAGATCATTGGTGCCAAGCTATTATGAGCTACAACAGCAATAACCTTAGCCCAGAATTGACAGACACAATAATGTAAAGTGGATTCTTAATGCAAATGTAGCATAATAGAATAAATGCTTCCCTAATCTATATGGAAAAAAATGGATATTATGTTAGGAAAGATCAAGAAGCTTTATTCCATTGATTGTATACCAGAGTGAGTATTTTTTACTCTGCTGTATGCGTTATATTGGCTACGAAAGAACTTTTATTTCTGATTATTGGCAACTCTGTGGAAGTAGGAAGTGAGTCCTTGTAAAGATTAACCAAATTTTTAAAGTGGTTTAGTGACCAACTTAAAGACGTTACACAACAAGTTTTCAAGGTTTAAGACTTTTACTGTAATGAGCATTAGTAGACGAATAATACTCTAAATTACAGAAACTATAACCTTTATTAATATCTTAATGCAACTGATAAGATCACACTGCATACATATACGTTACAGCAGGCTTTTCAGATTCTATAAAGGAAATGGTCCACAGTCACTCCCAATTTCCGAAGGATTCTTGTTCATCCATTTCAATGAGTTAAAATGTTGAGTACCTGTCAGAAGTTACTTCTCTCAGCATTTGGAGAATTTTTAAACTGTCTACGAGCAATAAAGCCCATTCTGGTGATTTCTTACCCTGGTCTTGACAGCACAAATCATCAAGTCTTTAGCTTGCCATGAGATGCACCTCCTTGACTACAGATCTTTCTCTGTAAAGATAAACACAAACAACACGTTTTATATATCAGCCAAGCCCTTGGCCTCCATGCATAGATTTTTTTTTCCACTTTCCTAATTGGCATAACTCCCCCCTTTTCTGAAGAAGGGTCGAGACCCAAAACGTCAGCTTTCCTGCTCCTCTGATGCTGCTTGGCCTGCTGTTTTCATCCAGCTCTACACCTCGTTGTCCCCCCTTTTCACTACACTTTTCCTGCTTAAAGAAGACTTTTGGATTCCTTTCATATTATATGATCTCTTCTTGGACTGATTGCTGTATTTTTTAATCCCCTGTGAAGAATCTATATTTAGCCTGGTCTTGTATTATCAGCCTGACAGCTGTTACATCCCTCTGTCTGCTCTTTGGTCTAAGGAGTAATATATATTTCTAGAGATTTTTTCTTAAAGAACAAGTGTAGGAGTGCGAGTTCCTGGAGTAATAATGACAACTTGTTTGTGTTGAGAGGGTTGTACAAGTGGACAGAGTACAAGTGAGATATATCAGGAATTGATTTTTTTTTCGCTAAAGAGAAGAGCCCATAGCTTGGAAAGCTTTTCTGTTTGCAGAGTTCCTGGGTGAAGTTAAATGTATGAAATAGCATTTTTTTTAAGGAAAGGAGATAATGCATAGCAATTAGGAAACAGGTTTCCTCAGTGTAAGAATTTTAATCTGGAAGTATCAGACCAGAAGTGTGTGTTTACTACCCAGAAGCGGTTATTCAAAACTGAGAAAATCCTAGTCTGTTGTCTAAACGATCAGGCAAAAGGCTCGCAAACTCAAGACTGGAAATTGAAAGAAACAGTTAAGTCAAACCTATGGATTTATTGGGGAAGGGAATTCTGTCTGGTATGTGAGTATTGTGAAATTGATGGTGTTGGGATAGATGGGATTATGATTTAACAGTGTATTTTAAAATCTGGTGTTATATAAATTCCTTGGTTTATTATATATTATCTTCATTTCTTTTGCATAATTAATGTCTGTTTGTTGTGAAAATGTAACCTGTAGCATTGTGCGCTTGTGTCCCAGCATGAAAGACCACCTAATGAAAATTAAAAAAAAGCCTTCAAACCAGATTTCAGTCTGAGATTTGATTTGCCCACTAACAACATCAGATGGAATCAAAACACCCTATTTTCTGCTTCATATTACACCTGCATCTCCTTACATTCTGGTTCCCTCATCATTCAGGGAGTTCAGGGTTTGGCTGCTGTACCTTTCCTAGCTGTGGGAATGTATCTCAACTGTAACTGAATCATTTCCGTTCTAAAGGCAGGCCATTATTCCATTTCAGTTTTGCCTGCTAATCTTGCACTCCAAGTTATATGAGACAGATCTGTTCTTGACCCACAAAATTGGCCTTCCTCCAAATTGTATTCTTACTTTAGATTGTTTCTTGTTCTTTTCCATGACTGGCTGAAACCTACGATTCTATGACCACTATATCCTAAAAAGTTACCCTGGTAACATATGAGCCACTTGACTCATCTCATTTCATCAGAATGGGATCCAACAATACCTCTTTCGTTGTTAGTCCATAAAAGCAATTCCTGACCACACTTCAAAAAGTGAGCGCTGTTTATACAATTACCGTTATAATTTAAATTGGGATAAGTCCTCCCACTAACATTTTGCACTGTAAGATTTTGGCATTCACTTTAATGATAAGACCAAGTTAATTATGATTATAGACTAATTTGAGAAAGGCAATCTAAAACTTATATGCCCTGATTAGTTACAAGGCCTGTTCCAAGTGTTAATGTTTGCACAAAACTTACAGAAAATAGTAAATTTATCAAAATAAGTGCAAAAGAAATGATATTTAATAAATGCAGTGGTTTTTTTCGTGTGACTTTTGGACATCAGTTCATGTTTCTGACTGGGCGTCTCTCATTCTCTTTAGATGAATAAATTTGGTCTTCCTTTCTTGTGCACCTAACTACTGAGAACAAGTGCTTATTAATTATTTCTAGCCACTTCCCCCATTTGTAGTCAGAGATATCCTGAACTCTAATTGGCTTGTCAGCACAGATTGAGCTCAGATTGGTGAAACAAAGTGTGCCCAATATATTATGTTTTGTTTTAAAAGTAATGGTCAACTTAAGGCCACTCAGAATGGTTTAAACTAGTTTGGAGGGGATATGGGAACCAGAGCAGTGGGTCAGCAAATAAAATAACTGTGAAGTAGTCAGACTAAAGCCAGTAAGACTAAGAGGAAGATCAGACAGAGAGAGATTCCTGAGCATAGCAGTACTGGTGGTCTGAAGCATATTTGTATTAATGCAAGGAATATGAAAGCTAAGGAAGATGAACTTAAGAGTTTGGATTAATACATTTCACTATGATGTTGCAGCTTTTACAGAGATTTGGTTGAGAGAGAAACAAAACTGGAAGCTTAACGTTCCAGGAGTTAGACGTTTCAACGAGATGCAGAAGGATATAAAAGAGGACGGGAAGTTGTACTGAGGAAGGGCTCACCTTATCATCATCAAATCCCTACAGTGTGGAAACAGGCCCTTTAGCCCAACAAGTCCACACCAACCCTCAGTGCATCCCACCTAGACCCATCCCCCTGTAACCCTCCTAATCTACTCATCCCTAAACACTTTGGGCAATTTAGCATAGCCAATCCACCTAACCTGCATATCTTTGGACTGTGGGAGGAAACCAGAGCACCTGGAGGAAACCCACGCAGACATGGGGAGAATGTGCAAACTCCACACAGACAGTCGCCCAAGGATGGAATTGAACCCGGGTCCCTAGCACTGTGAGGCAGCAGTGCTAACCACTGAGCCACCATGCTGTGTTTTGGAGGGCTTATCCAGCCAGGCCATATGGATACAGCTCAACAATAAGGAGGGTGCAATCGCTTTGATGGGATTGTACCACAGGCAATCTACTATCCTGGAGCCACATCCATGGCTGCAGAAACATTGCCTGAGGCTTTATCTATAGAATTTCCCATCAGTGTTGCTTTCCCTACCTTTCCTCTGTACTGCCCTCTTTGACCACACCTCCCACCCCCTTTTATCATAAATGGTGCTGTGGACTTCTGCTTTGATCACTCTCAGTTGTATTCAGGATTGAATACCAGGTGGAGAGCAAGTTGGACACCGAAAACTCTTGGATTTCCTGTATGGTAGTCCTTGATCATCATGGTCACTGGTAACCACTGTGCCTTTACATCCTTGATTTGCAGAGTGACCACATTCAGAATCAGGTTACACGTGTTGTTTTCAGTTGTGAAAAAACTTCAAATATTCTAAATGTTGGGCCTTAATGTACCAGTTATTTGAATTATCATGAAGAGTGCAATGATACTAAGTAGTACTCCACAATGGATTATGAGGCATCAGAAAATATAGGGAAAATATTACTGTTCTCTTCTCAGGCAAATAGGTATTCAATGGCATCATAAAATTGTGAAGCAAGATCTTGGCCTATGTTTGTTGCACTGCAGATAAATGTTGGTGCATCCATTTCATGCCTTGCCTCATTAAAACCCAAATACCAATGCAATGGCTTCTGTCACAATTTGTTGTGATCAGTCTCAATTTACTGTTTTGCCCACAATATGGTCTAATTTGAATTTGAAGCAAAAAAATCACAGGAAAATATGACAAGTTGGTTTTTTTTTGCAATATTTGCAATATTGTGTTTATTATATATTATATTTGCAATTTTTTGTAGGCTGTGTTTGTATTTGTGGTTTTAATGATGGTAAAAATGTCAATGCGCACCTTATTACTGTGTATAATTGACAGCAAATTTTGGCATCTGCCATAAAACACAAATATGAAAATTGCTGTCAGTGAAGGGTATGCTTTTGCAGTTTTCACACATCCAATCAAGAGAGGATCATTGACTTGACATGAACTTCAGCTTTGTATGCCCTATACCTACTGTAAACAAATTACACATTGTTATTCCTGTTCACTCAGGCATAACTGAGTTTTACCAGCTAAGTCACAACCAATGCGGACCCTCATTTCCCTCAGAACATTCAAGAATAGCCGCATTTTGAAAGTAACAAAAATGTATCTATAGAACTATAGAAATAATACAACACTGAAGGGGGCCATTCAGCCCACTTTCATCATGCTGACCCAAAGACACCCAGATGCCCAATCCAGTCACATCTTCCTGCACACGGTCCATAGCCCTGCAGCTTACAGCACTTAAGGTGTAGATCCAGGTATTTTTTAAAAGAGTTTAGGGTCTCCGCCTCTACCACCCAGGCATTAAATTCCAGACACCCACCACCCTCTGAGTAAAAAATGTTTTTTTTCCCACACGTTCCTTCTAATCTTTTTCCTGCTTAGCTTGAATCTATGACCTCTAGGTTTTAAACTCTCTGCCAACAGAAACAGGTTCTCCCTGTGTAATCTATCTCTACACCTCATTATTTTATATACCTCAATATATTTTTAAAAGTTTGTTGATAGTATTTCACCCTCTTCAGTAATTCCATGCTAATATCCTACTTTTTATTTTGCTTTCTGTGTAATGACTATAATGTGAATTATAGCTGTTTTTATACTTTCCTAATCAACCTGTACAGACTTGTTATTACATACTTTTAGAGCATGTGGGACTTGAACCTAGACCACCTGGGTCAGAGGTAGGAACATTATTACTGCAACACAAAAGCCCTAAAATGTGAACTATATTCCGTGCTTCATTTCTGCCCAAAATTGGAACTTGACTTGCAAATAGCCAGAGTATGTATTTGAAACAGGTGTTACAGCAATGTGAATGTGCGAATCTGGGTGCTAGCATCCATTTTAGGAGCTTGATTTCAATACATCCTAAATAGACAGAATATGTAAATACTTAATAGCTAAAATCCAAACTTTTGTGACTGTTAGTCCTACCTGCAAGGAGCAAGTACCCACTGCAATGTATTACTAACTGCAAAACCTTGCATTATCCTACTGTAGAAGAGCATAATGCCACCATCAACTAACCTTCTCTATTATTCCTCCATCACAA